TTATTCATTTTAATGATCTTATTTTAAATATCATGAAAGAATTTTTGCATGGAAAGTGAAGCGTAAAGGTCAAAAAAGTAATCCTTTTGAAGCCATCATCAAAAAATTATTGATAGAGCAATTCAGTTCTGGTTTGTGCTAGACTTACCTCCACATGATACACCATGTGCGACGTATACTTATATTGCAAAAGTCTATAAACCGGAATTTTGCTTCTGACTTCAAACTACGATCATCTCACTGCGTGTCATATTCGACCACTTCCAAGGTACTCGCCTTACCTTTTCATTACCTTTATGTCTGTCCATCTATTTTACATCCTTGAATCACTATTCTGTCGCCCCATTCTCAAATTTTTCTCACTTTGATGTTCCTTCCCTCTGTGAAGCCCAGGGTCAGCAAAAGGTCGAATGATAACTATCAAAACGCCTGTCATTTGAAATAAATAAAAACACTTCAGTTTGACAGCAAGAATTTAACAACGTGAAACTGAAAACTTCTCACTAAATATGTGTCCGATTTATTGAATATGCATTTTCGAATTCTCAACCGCAAAATAGGTTCTTTGAACTTTGCATTTTCTTCACGTAGCTGTATATTCTCTTATTTGGAGACTGACTTATTACAATTCCTTATCTAAATTTATTTATTTTTACTTTGTAGCGTCACCTTTTACTTAGTACCGTTAGCCTCTTGTCCATTGTACAAACACTAATGGAAATAAGTGACACTTTCATGGCGTTAAGAATCTTAAGAATGAAAAGAAATCCCATGTGTATTTTTATTTCTTCAACTTTTTGCCATGAAAATTGTGACCACTTCGAATGCCGGCCGGCTCGAAGTGAACAAATGCCAATAAATGACTAATTCTACTGAGATAAGCGGTCTGAAAATTTAATGAGTTTCTAACAAAAAAACAGGCATATTCTAAGCAGTCATTAGCAGTTCATATCAAATAGCTCAGAGAAATATTCGTCAAATTACAGATTTTGTGAATGTGTTAATACTGCGAAAAATACATGGATTTGAGTTATCTATTCACCAAATCAGTTTTCTCTTAACACTGACCAAGAAGTGGGCTTTGCTGTTATTACAGGAAATTAACATACTCGATGATGTTATATTTCTTTGTCATGCCTATACTTCTTTAGACAGAGAATAAAAAGCCAATGCAGTCACATATTTTTCTTTTCCAACTCAATTTATTTGTGACTCTGTAATTTCAATTGTAAGTGATACTGTTAAGCGAATAGGTTCAAATAACGAAATTAATTTCATTTTCTCCATTAGATCAATCGAAGCCTCCTATTAAGGAGTTCAATGGATATACTCATTCTTCCATGAATTTCTTCCCCAGAGTTCTAATTTAGTATGAAGGATTATGCAATAAGTTACCAAATTAGCAACGAGACAGACTTTCATGTAGCATCGAAAGGTTATGTTACCCTCAAAAATGTATTTATTATAAAATTAGGCACAAATTAATTGGAAAAATTTTCCGTTCTAATATATATATATATATTAAAACTCCTTTTAAAAGCTTCTTATAATTTAGTTGTGATTCCACATATTTCACTTACTTCGAATTAAGCCTTGCATCTAGATTCCTTAAATCCTTTCATGAACGTTTCACTTAAATTTAGTAAGACAGAAGAATCTCTCTATTCATTACTTAAATTAATTTTCTGTGAGTCAGCTTGATCGTACCTGAGACTCTGCTTCACTCATGACCTACGATTAAATAACCTGAGCCGAACCTAAATGATGGGATCTAGATGTTATTTACCACTGAGTCAGTAAGTGGTGGCTTACAAAGCGTTTGAAGTCGTCTGGCTCATATCTCTATCTACAAACCCAATGCTGTTAACTTCTCCCATTGACACCCACACACGATTCAGTTGTTGGTAACTACTACCAGCAACTGTGGACTACTTCATTTCTCTGATTTTCTGTCTCAGTAAATAGACTGGTATTAATGAAACCCTCTCGGTATTAAAGGGTTTCCCTCTTGCTTCTCAGGAGAAGGTCGCTAGAAAGCAGAAGGAAAGTGCAGAAAAAAAGTGTTAGGGGCAATCAATCAGATATATGTCTTTATACGATGCAAGAGGAAACACTGTATGGACAATGAAGCTGTTGAGTTAACAAGGCCTCGAAGTTGAGCATGGAAAGAGAGAATGAGCTAGTATAAATGAGGGATTAAAGGTAAGAACACAATCAAAGCTTTAGTTCATCACAGTTTATTTTAACCAAGGGAAATTCCATCTCCTCTTTTACTGTTTCCTCATGGGAGGTGGAAAATAACTTGTCTCGGCATGACTACAATTCATTATTATCTAAGCATATATCAGTAAACACTGCTACTTATTTATTGGCTATTTTATCTCCAACAGAATAAAAAACATTCTCGCTTCTTCTTTTTTTAAAAAAACTATTTGTGTTTTCATATCGCTTTTCAGTCAAAAAGACGTTCTAAAATGGATGCTCTTTCTCGGCAATTTATTGATACTAAATCTTTACGATCTTTAGTCAGAATATTGATTTTGTACTATTTAACGTATGACAAAAGACTTCGAAAGTCTCCCTTTAATTAAATCACCACATCACAAACTTGATTACGACATTTTCAATTTTTAATTAAATGGCATGAATTTTTAGCTTTTCTCTCTAGCTCTGAAAAATATATAACCACCGGTTTTATATTCTTCAAGTGTTATTGAAGAAAATACACTGGATCTGCTTGAATGACTATAAAAGGCTAACAAGGTCAAAAGGGTTGAATAACCAAATTAGCTATTTAGTCCTGTAAAATGTACAGTTCGAGTGTAAAGATACAGAAAGGCAGAGGTTTGGCTAGATAGATTGTCTTCGGGCTTATTTTATATTAACCAAATATTTTTACTTATTAAGCCAGCTGCCAGATTATAGACTTTTTGGCGTATGAGCGCACGTTGCCTAGGGAGCACCACGTACAGGTAAGTCTATCGCACACGAACCTAATGCTCGAAACAAGGGAGAAGCATTAGACAACAACGCTCTCCAACATAGTCGATTGGTCAAGAATCGAAACTGTTGCAGAGTTAAGACTGCGTAGTGGACACATTTGTCTGGCGAAGCACCTCCACAGAACTGGAGTAGATGCTAGACGAACATGCTCCCTATGTGGCCTACAGGAGCAAATGGAGAAGACCCACTTGATACGCTGTCCGGCCCAACGGATAACGACAGGAATCCAGAAATACTGGGAAGCCAGAAATCAACTAAAGAACTACTGTTAACTATCCTAAAGCCTATATATGTGTTAATACCCCCGCCCCCCTTGTGAAGACCGAAGTCAACTATATAGCAAAGGATAAATATCAAAAATATCATATAAATAAAATAAATATTTACCAACCAATGATCTTTTATCATCAATAGGTAACTTTATTTACTGCAACATTTCTGTTGATGATTCTAATTGAATACCAGTGTTTATATTAAATCATGTGACAAAATAGTTTCTTTATCGGAGGTCAATTACAAGCTGATGAGCGTCTCTCACTCTCTCTCTTTCTCATTAACCATAATCTCCTCTCCTTGATATTCTAATTTAGAAACCATCGTGGAGAACCAATCAAGGGCTTATATGGCCACACGAAAATTCAGTTATGTCGTGTTATCAAAATATGTATGTGTCAGAAAAGCCTCCACGACATTTACCTCCACCCAAGAAAGTTGCCAAAGAATTTATGTGAGTAGAAACTAAAACGATACAAAACTTAGAGGAGAAGTATAGAGTAAGTGCAACAAAAATAATGATAATTATTTTATTCAAAAAACTATTAACATGAAAAAGCAAAAAAAGTTTAGTCTGAATTAGTAAGAAGCAAATGAAACCAATCGATAATTCAATGATTATAAATATATTAATCAGGTTCATAATAGATATTTATCATCTGGTATTTGATTGGTGTCATCATAATTAGTTTCCTTGAGTAATCGAATACCTAGGGAAAGAGAAAATTTCACCAAATAAGTTTACAAAGAGCAAAGAATGAATCATTTTTTGTCTTGGAAAGATCAGAAAGTTGGTAAAATATAAAAGAGGAATAGCTACAATAAGGACAATTAAATTACGAATTAAAATCAAAATGAAAATAAATAGAACAGATAAAATTTAAATAAATACAATCAATTAACGTAAGAATTTGGACGGTTAAGGTTCAAATTAGAATGAAATGACATAAGTAAGTAATTAAATAGAAGAAGTGAATGTATCGAAAAAATAAGGTCAAAAACGGTAAGAAATTAGTCAAGTTCATAAGGAAATCGATTAATTGGTAAGGTCTTGGGGTCAGTGCTATTAATTGTATACATTAGCGGTATGTCTGCAAGGCTTTTACAATTAAGATCGAACCACGAAAGGGCAGGTTCTCCGAGAAATCGTACAATTTCTATCATGGACATACAATCAGCCTCGGCTGTGTGTGCAAGGTCAGGAGACTTACAAAATACTCTTTCATACACCATTGGCAATGAAAAACGATTTTCAGATTTAATCACTTGGGAAGTTAATATGGCTAGTCCTCTGTCATCTGGAGAAACAAGGTGATAATCAAAGTCCCGAAATAAATCCAGGGTATCACTACAGTAAACTGAATCTCCATTTTTATCTGACAAATCGCTTGAATGAATTCTTCTTAATTCTGATTTAAGAAGAGGAAAATCAAAATTATAACCATTATGCGCAATGATACAAATTGGGGGCGTTAAATGATTTAAAAAACAGTTAATAAGCTGTAATACATTATCATCAAAATCCTTCTGAAGGCATAAATTACTGGCATTCAATCCAGTTATATTGGCTGCTTTAGACTGAATTGGAATCATTGGGTTGAAACATAGGTTTAATTTATTTTTAACAGGCCAATTGCGCGAGTCATCTATTAAATCTGACCTTTCGACCGCCTGCAACGACAACTCAGTAATTCGAGGATGATAACCGCTTAATGGAAGGCCGGTTGTTTCCAAGTCGAAGAAAATAAAAGTAGAAAAAAGTTGTGAAGACATTTATTGAATATGTATATGTGTCATCGTAGGACATATGTGTTTGCAAGGTCGATATAACCAATATGTTGCAATTTAATTAGAGATAACAAACGGGCATATCAAGCTAAGAGCTATAAAGGACTATTCTATTTAATATAAACTAAGATTATATGTTAGTAATAATTTTTAAGATAAATATCGCTTGAAATCATAATATTTAATAGCACTTCAATTCATACAAATTAGAAATTTTCAATCGGAGTTGATTAAACAGTAATTTATTCCAAATCGTAATAATGGGCTTTTAAAAATTTTTTATTCAAATATATTTTTTGATTGCAAAGTTTGAATTTTGTTTCTTCTGACTATATAAAGAATTGGTATTATTTGTAAAATATCGATAAAATTAGTTAATATTTTACTATATTTTCATTATAACTTTTAAGATCTTGTAAACGAATTCTAAACCATGGTCAATCGTCAAATTAATTGCTCAGATTGCTTTCTTGTATCTATTTTGCGCTCAAATTTTCCTACTGAATGACACATTCTATTAGCAATCCCCAGTTCTTTCACTATTTTTCATGCCTTGATCATAATTAAAGATGTTGTGACTGACAATGAAAAATTAGAATCAAATTTTAATTAAAAATTTTGACAAAAACGCAACTTTTATGCGCTTTGGATAATAAAGGGGCGTCGAAATTACTGAGAATTGTTTCCTAGAAAAATTCAGGCTAACAATATTCCAATTCTGAATATTATTTTTTAATTAATAAGATATACGTGAAAGAAGCTATTTATACGCTTTTAAGATTGTTGAAGCATGTATTTTGATTTTAATATGCTAGATTTTATGTCATTAATCAGCATTGTCTTTTCATTGTTATTCTTATTTTGGTAATATTGCTATCAATAACGTTTACCAATGCAAAAAATATTTAAGCAAATAACATTTGAAATTTGTTGCGGCAACAGAGGTATTTTCCTACAAGCCATGACAACCACTCATGAAGTTAGAGTGGTCAGCAGTCTTTATTTATATGAAGGCGCTTCCTACTTGAACCATATAAGAAAATTTGGCAATGCAGAGTTTATTGTATTTTTAAAAGAATTTAAAGAAACAATGGTTATAAATGTAGTGAATACATCAAGCAGCATTTTAGTCTTTATTTTACATGACTCTCATATTAATAAAGCAATAGGCTTGAGTGATTGACAATTAAATAAGTTAATGTTATTAACTGGTTGAAGTTAAATATGTGAAACAACCTTAGTTTGCAATTTTTATCTAACCGGGAACGTTTTAGCTTTTAGTTTAATTACTCGCCTTTGGTACCATTAAAGAAACAAAAAATAGAGTAGCAACAAGAGATAGAGAATTTGGTTAAATGACATGTCTACTATGGTAAATACGATTTTATTTTGAACTCTATTGCCCAGAGAAAAAAGTGTAGCATAATATTATATGTAAGTTTTGTCAAACAGTTAATCATTTACGATGAAGCGCTTAGTAGGGTAAAGTGATTTGAGGAAATATGTCCACTGTTAAGGACTGAATAGTTTGGTTATCGAAAGTGGAATAAGTAAGACTTTACCTAAAGTGAACTACAGAACTATCTGTTCAAAAGCTTTCCAATATTACCTTCGATAATGCTTTTCCTTTCTTACCATATATTGCACTTCAGACGGAATGTCTGGTTAACAGGGACTTATGTGTACTTCCTACCATCATTTTCCATAAATTCTAGTCAAAAAGCTTCTTAAAAAAGAGGCCATCTGTTTGTGGTGATTAATTCACAGGGTTGCATCAGATGGGAATAGAGTAGGATTGAAAGGAATAGATTAATTCTGGAAACTATTAGAGAGTATTCATTCACCTATGTATAATTGCTGAAAAACAAGTATGGATTTTGTCATAAGGTGACTTTCACTGCAACATAAACTAGCAGGAACCAAAAAAGAAACAGAGAGATAGAAAATTGGATTTAAAGCGGATAAGTGGGAACTTTACCATATCCACGGTTTTCAAATAATACCATAAACTCTAAAGTTGGTTAGATCATGCTGCATAAAACTTATTTAGAAATGAAACAAACGGTTAAAATATGCTAGATTAGTCAAAGGATGACTAAAGAACTCACGATTCAACAGAATGTCTAATTTGAATGTAACCCCAAATTGGCCAAAATTGAATCAGGCATAGATGTTGATAAAAGACAATTTTGTCTAAAATAACGAGGAAACTTTCAGACACTCTAAGAGGTTTATCATTAATGTAGGAAGCATGCTTTTAAATTTGAGTGTTTTTTTCATACGATGGAGAGGGAATGACTTTAAAAGGAGAGGCCATTTTTATTCACATTAAAGTCCGAACTCGTAAATCTCAATTTTATAACAATGCAGTTACCGTTAACAAATACAGTTGCAATAAATTTTATCTATTTGATGATGAGATGATTCAATTAGACTAAAAAAGGAAATTTATGACCAAAACATGAAATGGAGTCTTTTGATGAACCTTGAGTCTGCTGAGGGTAAATACCTAAATACCCATCAACAAAAATAAGAAATAGCAAAATAACTATACATAATGAAAAATATATTATTTTACAATAAAACTTAGCAAATATTATAATTACCAGACAAATGCTTCTAAAACTAACGATGCAAGTGGCCTAGACATTGCAGCATTTGGCTTTGGCGGCTTGAATAAATTTCCCGTTTTTTATGCTTTAAAATTTACATCAGCTACGCTTTCTAGAATGAATTTGATTAAGTTCTCTACTTTCATATTTTTTGACACAGAAACAACTGGCCTCTTGCGTAAAGATTTTCATCCGAAAATTACAGAATTAACGATGATAGCTGTGAACAGAAGAGATTTATTATCTGGTGTTAAAACTCCACGAGTGCAAAACAAATTTACGATGTGTTTCAATCCCCAATCTCAGTTTCATCCAATGGCAGCAAAAATTTCTGGATTGAACACAGAAAATATACGAAGTGAGAAAGATTTTGACGAGAATGCTGTTAGACTTTTGGATCTATTTCTCCGGCGTTTAAATCCCCCTATTTGCATTATTGCTCACAATGGATATGAATTTGATTTTCCTCTTCTCCAAGCAGAATTGCTTCGTGTAAAATGTCAATCGTTCGAATTCCTCGACTGTAAAGAAAATCCGATCTACTGCAGCGATTCCTTGTATTTTTTCAAAGAATTTAACGATAAACTTGTTCCTCAGACCACAAATGAGTCTTCGTCTGCTGATGAATCATTGAGCAAAAAGAGTCCTCATGGAATCTTTTCTCTTCCAGTTGTTTTTCAACGTGTTTTTGGTTCAATTCATGCTAATGCTCATAATGCAGAAGGTGATTGTATTGCTGTAATGACGCTTGTTCAAGTTTTGGGTGATCCCCCTCTTTCATGGTTTGATTCTAACTACCGCAAACTTTCGGACATCAAGTCAATGTACACCGTTGATGAAACTGACCCAACCCCACTGCCTCCAGATCAATTCCCTATTGATCTTGATCAACCGTCTAGCGATTAGTGGCTTCCAGTGTTTTTTTATATTTGTCTAATTGACATAAATCTAACTACTCCTTACTATTTATTGTACTACTATTTTGCGATTAATCCAATTTGTTCTATTATTGGTAATTTCGAATACAACTTTTGTTTAATGTCAGCTCTTTTGCGTTGCGCGATACTTCTTGCTTTCTGCACTTCTGTTGTGTACTACAGGGCCAAAACGCGTTGGTTTTTCCTCCATATCCGCACGCCATTTTCGTCAGATCCACCCACTAAATAACCGATTTAGTTATAATGAGAGAGCGAAACAATATTCGACCTTTTGCATTTCGTCACATAATATCAGTTCTGTTGATAAACCATCAATTTAATGAATTTTCCCCTGACTGTCGTTACTTAAAGCAGTTCCATTCGCTTATCCATGGATCTAACGTTATATCAGATTGGTTTTTTCATGAATATAAGTCAAGGTTTAAAAGTCCTTCTATTGTCTTGAATGTGTTAAACTGGGTTAACAGTGACCCTGCTTATTTCATTAGACGGTAATTCTGATATCTGGCGTTTCGGCTTGAAGTACAATCTGCTTGCTCATCGTTATATCGTTTTAATAAAGACGAGATATCTGGTACGGATTTGGTTTGGGCATATAAGGAGATAACTGGCTTAATTTACGTGTTTTCTGTTCTCTAAGCCCATCGGGTTTTATGAAAATTTAATGGACGCAGAATTTGGTCCAGAACATGAGGAATGGGGGTATCAAGAGCAAGATGTATGCCCAGAGGGTTGGAGGTAGGTTTGTGGGACACGTTATCGCTTTGTGCGTCATCGTGTGCCTACATGTCAGGATTGGGAGGTGCGGCCGTACAACTCTGTGTACACGTCTGTTTCCTTTATAGCTGGGCTATGTCTTAGCTGGTTCTGGGAGTCTAGCTAGATGTAGGAGAATCTGCCATAGAGATTTCTGAGTCGGTCAGGCTTTACTAGTGTAGCAATCCGCTACAGAGGCATGCAACAAAAGCATCCGCAGCACTCGCATATACCACATCATGCTTCAAGATCCATTCCAAACATGGGTAATTTACCACTGCGACAATAGGTATTTAGGCTGCTAAGGTCTTCGAATTCAATATGTACCACGGCAAATGCCTCCAGACCCTTTTACAACCTTCCAAATGTCTGCTCCACTACTCTTTACCTCGGTAGTTTGATGTAGTTGGATATGAAGTTAATAAGTCATGCAAGAAATCAAAAGTGGAACTATAAATCCAGTAAAATTAGTGGTACAAAATGCATCTGTATATTTTCTATAATTTATGGCCACTCGCGTGTTTCAGGTATGAACGAATATCGATTTCCCTGTCTTCCTATTTTAGTTTGACCAATGTGATGAATTATTTCCTGAAA